TTCCTTGCCGTCGGCCTCTTCTCTTCGCTTCTGGCGCTCCTTGTACGTGTCCTCGTCAGTGACAACGACAACGGCGACGCGCCGGTAACCGTCGAATTCCCTCAACTTGCGCCTCTGGGCCGACGGGTATACGTTCGTCTGTTTTTACGATACGGCGACATACAAACGGCGGTCACCGGCGTCGTTAATGTGGAGCAAAACGAATCATATTATAGCAACGTCCGGGTGCGTACCGCGAACGACACCTAGAACAAGCTCAATAGAGATCCCAGACGATTTAGTTTCTCACTGTGGCGTTCGTTTGGCAAAGTTTTAATTACAAACTACAGTACTCACCCGGCTGCGTCTAGAAACGTTTATTATACATGACAGTTAAACACTTGGCCAAAGTGGTTTCGCGGCGATCTCGATTGTTCCTGATTAAGTGGCGGGCAGTGTGCGGTGTCGCGGCGAGTCTCACCTGGTCCAGGATGAAGTTCCTCTTGCGGCCGCGGGCCACCTCCAGCAGCTTGAGCACGCACTTGGCGCTCTTGGTGACCATGGCGTCCCAGCGGCCCTCGAAGCTGCTCCGGAATGGCTTACAGTCCACCTGACACGGAAGACATACAGTCAACAACAGACACACATATATACGACACACGCTTGCAACTCTTACGACTATCTTATATCTATGACAAATAATGTTATGCTAAGATACCAGGGACTCTCAGCGCTGACAGCCTTCCTCTTCAGCCGGCGATCCACTGGTATCATATATGTTCGACCACTACAGGTCTATGGGTATTTTAACTTTTTTTATAAGTGTTTTGTAATAAAAGTTGCTGTAATTTGCACCCTGTTGAAAATACACAGTATTATTAGTTTGGAGCTATACATTTAATGCTCTCTTTTTATTACCTTCATACCTATTTATGCTGAGGGGAAAACAGATTATGCTCTTGTGTTGTGTTGTGTTGTTTGTATGAGCAGTTTCAATAGCAGCTTATTTTAATTATTGATTTACTTTGAAATGCTACATAATTGACATAAATAAATTAAAACTAATCTACAAACTTCAAATAGGACTATTTTATTATTTAAAGCTTAAAACTAGGAAAACTACGACTAAAAAAGATACTTTAGAATACCAGAATATTACTTTATTTCATTAAAAAAATCATCAATATATAGTATTTCAAAGACTTTGTCTCTAAAAATTTTGAAACTATGCTGCTATTCTAATACATGTACCATAATGTTTATGTAATATATGTGTTTAGTGTAAGTATATAATAAAATAAAAATTACCTTCATCTTATCGAACAGTGCACCAGTAGACAGTATGTTGTATCTCTTGGTGGGGTTGGCAGCAATGTGGTTCTTCACCCAGAATGTCTTGCCGCTGCCCGGCATCCCCACCATCAGTATCACCTACCCCAGTACCGTTATTATTACATTTTATTATTATTAATAAAAAATAAATACTTATTTAACATAATATATCCATCACAGAACAAAACATGCGCAAAATGTTATTGTATTCGAATCGTTTAGCCGCCGTTGAAATTCTAGACGATTGTAAAGTTGACGATTTCATTATAAATATATCGAAGACCCAAATAATTTAAGAACAATTATATGTAACGTTCATATATTTGTTCCGCCTGGGATTTGAACCCAATACCTACTAAATCATTCGTGAGTTGTTTTCGGTCTTTGCATTTCATTGTTATTTTCAATATGAAAAATTGCAGCCAATTTTCTTTGTTGCAGTCCAGTCTTCAACCGATGAAAAGAATCCTTTACTACAAATTCAATTTCTCAATAGCTTATTGCTATTTCTTGCTATCCCTTGTCGTTCAAATGGCTACCACTACCGCCACTTCAGTACATTATCACCGGTTTCCCCAAGAAACAAATTAATTTCAACGAGAAACAAATTCATTTCACCCCAAGAAACGACTGTATTTCCATTTCTTCAGGGAACGAAGGCAGTTCCGTCAATATCGTGATGTATGGTCACCAACATTTATGGTAGTTTTGATAGAATGGTCACCCCACAAGTAGGTGTAGCCGACATACATCGGCGTGGTAGCCCCTACCTCCAGAGCGACGGGCGCACGTTATGGCCATATTTTGTACATCGGGCCGCCGCTGCAGAGCCCAGGCGGACTATGTATGAAACAAAAACACAATTTCACCAAGATAAATGGAAATATCAAAGTGAAGTCATGTATTAATTTAGTAAACAAAATATTAGTTACTTTTCATATTGCCAAATCAGCCTTTTACTTCCGTTTTGTAGACGACTCTTGAATGACCTAGTTTATTGTAGTTTGTACGTACTCGTACAACTGTCGCTAATATCTTTTCCCCATACCATCTGCGATGATATATTATTTCACACATTTTATCGTTTGCAGTTCACATACTATTTTTCCTAATAATTTATAGTCACGTTTTTATATGTTGATTCCAGTTGTTTTAGTTTATTTTGATAGCACTTATACTACATGAATGTAGCTTAAAAATAAACTTATTTCTGCGAGAAACAAATTCATTTCCACGTCAATTTGATCCATACGTCTTGTGTTGTGAAACGCAACACATTCCTGATACCTACCTTAGAATACCTTCCTACCTTTAGCTAGTAACTACTACCATAAAAACCTTTGAGGTAAAAACACTTCAATGCCCTTATTAGGATTCATTACCATAGTTATAGAAAATCTTCTTGCATATTACAAACATATCGATGGGTGAAAGGCTATTTGTTTTAAGCGCCATTGGGTTAAATATTCAGGAGAGCCATTTAAAGATTTCATTTTTAGAAAAAAAAAACCATCTAGATATTGATTGTCTCAAGCGCCACAAAAGTGCTATGATCTTTATGGAAATTACTGATACTTTTTGAACGACTAAAGTAACTGGGAACTAATAATTTTGAGTACTGGCCGAATGTGCTTTGCATGACAGATGTCAAGATGACAGTTGTCATTGAATGGTAGAATGATGCGTTTTGTTATTATAAAATAAATTGGTTTATCTCTATAAATGTTTGCAATTCGATTAGAGTCTGCTGTGAAGTCAATTAAGATGGGGGTCAACTAAGGATAGCGTTTCTAATGTTACTCGATTGTTATTTCATTATCTCCGACATACGCACGCCCACAATGGAGGATCGTTACCGTGTATATGATCTATTTTCGGAAGTGAATTCTATAAACCGCTTGTCACTCCAACAAATATAGTAAAACCTCGATAACATAAAAACTTCTATAACTTCAAAAAAGAATATGTTCCCTTCCCATTAGACCACAAAACCTCTATAACATAGACGCTTGATAACTTAAAACCTCTATAACTTAAATTTTGTGTTTCCCTTGGACTTTAACTTATCGAGGTTCTGCTGTATAAATATAAAATATGTATATATAAGTCAATATCGCCTTTAATGGTGATTGAAACAATAGCCTTTCGCCCGTCGATATATTGTTCTGTGGGTTTTGAGTCACTTTTATCACATTGTAATATAAATATATTGTACAATGATGTACATTAGTATAGAACTGACCTCGCAGTCGGCGGCGGCGAGCGGCGCGCGCGGGCCCGCCAGCAGCTGCGCCTGCGCCACCAGCACGTAGCCCGCCAGCAGACTGGCCTCGGCACCGTCCAGCTCCTCTGACACCACGTATCTAACATGTATGGATGGATGATTATTTTTGTTTAATCTATATCTATTGTTACAAAATAATAGAAACGGAAGTAGTTTCATAAAAGTCATTGCAAGGATTGAGGCGCCCTTAATCGCTGTCCCTTAGTCCGTTGCACTTAGTCCCTTAGTCGCTTAGTCAGTTGCATTCAGTCGCTCAGTCGCTAACAAGCTCTCTGGCCGTCAGTACCTCAGTTCCTTCAGTCGCTCAGGAGCTCAGAAGCTCAGTACATTTCTAGCCGTCTCCACGGAACGTTCGATATCTTTTACGTAGTTGCCTTAGTGTATTCGTTTTATAATTCACCAGTATTGCCCATATTACCGCTCGACTGTCATATTTTTTAAAAAGTCATTCGTATCAAAATTTATAAAACTATATTAATAAAGATAGATTTGTATTATCGGATTTTTGTATGTGTTTGACACAAAAACTATTGAACCAATATTTTAATTCTTTCACGATTGGAAAGGTAATATGTGATAAATTTTATGAAGATTCATTAACATTTTTTGACCGACTTCCGAAAAGAAGGAGGTACTCTATTTGTCTGTACGTATTTTAATTTTTCTTTTAATGTGTGTTATAGGAGATAATTTAGGTGATGTGGGTCCCTTCAAGAGCGATGTGAACCGGTACTTACTAACATGTACCTTCGACCACATCTTCATTTTAGTCTAGGTGGGATCGTAGTCAAACGCTGGTTTATATGTGACTAGTTGTTCCCGTGCGGCTTCATCCACATGAAACTTTATTGTATTGTTGACATTTGTGAAATGTCAAAATTTAAATGCATAAATGACAACCTTGCTTCTTTATGCTCTCTTTCACACATTAGGGTTTCTATCCAATTTATTTACCCCCTAAGTTTAAAAACGTGAAGATATATAGCCTAAAGAATGACGTAAGTGTAAGGCTTTTTATCAAAAAAGATTATTCAAAAATATGCTGTAATTGGTGACATCTTATGCCACAAAGAAATGTGTGTTTATGCTTTATTATATTAGTAAATTAAAAAATTAGTAAAAATTACGTAAATCGAATACAAATCTTTCCTCTTTATAATTTGTCACAGATAGAGAAACTAATTTGGAAAAAAGCTACTAATAAGAAGTACTCACCTAATGACATTTTTCATTCGCTTGTCTAATAAAAGTCCTTTGAGAAAATCATCTTCAATCACTTCTTTTCCATCATCTGTAAAATAAAAAGGTTATTAAAAAAATTTAAAACTCTCAATTTAAAAATATAAGGAAACTATTTATTTTTTATATTTAGATGCAATTACAAACACATGACTGAGGTTACAAGCAAAACCCTTACCTTTAGTAGGTTCATCTTTAATTTCTGGTTTCTCTTCTTCTTTATCAGATGTCGTCTTCTCCTCCTCCTTAGTCTGCGACTCCTGAACAACCGCATTGTCTGTTTCCATCGGCTCATTCTTCACATCGGAGTCACCATTCTCCTGCTGAAAACATTCCGATTATTAAAATATTAACTAAGCAAACTGTTACTGTAGAGGTAGTGTTTTTATCATACAAATACATTTGAGAAATACATTGTTAAGATAATTAGTACCGCGCTATAGAAGTGGCGCAACACTAGATTATTGGCATAAACGTCACATCTCTAACTGACAGCTGTCAATGTCATTTAGAAGAATGTATATTCGCGCGCGATTCTGAGTCCTAACGAGAAGTGTTGCTCTGAGTTTAAAAACGATAGTATTCATTAAATAAATTGTTTAAAAATACAGACTTACGACAGTGAATATTTTTTCACCGCTAACTTCTTTAAAAAGGTACTATGTTAGTTGTCAAGTTTAGTGCCACCTCTTGTCCTTGTAATGGCATGTTATAAAACATTTTACACAATTATAAGAGGCTCCATCTTTTTTATAAAATGAACTAAACAGTATCACTAAATGAAATTTAAATATTTAAATACAATAATAGACAGATTTAATAAGGATCACATGTAAAATGTCTTAAGTAAAGTGTCTACTATACTTCCTCTATATTTTTTTAATCTCTTTATCAACAACTTTAAAAACAAAACAAGTATAGATACTACTACCTTGGTCTCTGTAGACTCCTCAGCATCTGCCTTCTCAGGTTCCTCTTGCGTTTCTCTCTCCTCCTCTGGCTCTTCTACTTCCTCTTTCTTCTCCTCTGCATCTTTCTCCTTCCTCTCGCGCGATGCTTTATCCCTCTCCTGCAATTTACAATAAAATTACACGCCTTTAACTCATTTTGCCATACTTTCCAATGATATTTTGCTATTTCACTTATTGGTCAAATTGAACTTTGAATAAGTCCATTTAAACCTGGATGTTGTTGCAAACAAGAGCTATTTAAGTCAATTAACACACATAATCTTATTAACATTATAAATGCGAACATTTGGATGTATAGATGGATGTTTGTTAGAGTTTGTAGCTTAAACTGCTGAACAAATCTCAATGAAATTTACCATAGATGTAGAGGACAGTCTAAAAGAACGCATAGACTATTTATTTTTGTTTTTGTTTATTCCACGCGGAAGTAGTAGCGGGCAAGAGCTAATATTACATAAAGAACATATGTCTATTTAGAAAGCAAAATTGATTCTTACATCTCTCTTCTTCTGCTTATCCTCTCTCTCTTTACGCTCCTTCTCCCTACGCTCTCTGCTGCGTCGATTGGCTTCCTCTTTGAGACGTTCGATTTCCGCTTCTCGAGCTTTCTTCTCTTCTAGTACTTGCTCGATTGGAACTTCTATACGTTGGCGAACGACTTTAGTACGTGTGAGCAAGTTGTACCTGAAAGTAAAATCAACTATAAATCTAAACATTTACACAACTTAACTAAGTTACAATAAAATCTTGTTTTAATTATATTTCTAGATTTGTCCGGACGGAGGGGGAGGATAAGGTAGAGGAATTAACTATTTCCGTGCATCCCTTCCTCTGTCCCTTAAAGGTAGGCAACATATCTACAATTGCTTATGGGCAGAAAATGTATCGTTATTTTGGCATTGTTGGTCCCTTGTTACTTGCCTTAGTATAAAACTTGTCACTTTATTAAATTAAATGTACACTTAGGGAAGCCATTAGGAATTTAAGTGAGGCAGAACATACCTGTATATCTAAATATGTTCCTTTTTTATCTAATTAGATTCTCCTTTAAAAAATACTATCACATCTTTGGTGTTTGTTCCATCAACAACTATCACCTTTTACCTATCAAATTTTACCTAAAAAAAATGAAAAAGCCTTACTTACTTTTCATATCCTAGATTAACTTTATAGCAGATATTCTTAGTCAAGATGTGCGGATAGAGAGGTCTATCTCCAAGCAGGACCTTGTCGAATTCATACGCGACGCCGAGCTCCTCGCCGTTCAACGTGTACGATATAGTACAGGGAGTCGAATCCAAGTCCTGTTCATCAAAACTTATTTTAACAACTAGCTGTTCCCGTGCGGCTTCAACCGCATGAAATTATGAAAATCTTATTTTATTGCTTACATGTGTCAAATTATCAATTGCAAATGTCATAAGGACATAACTTGATGACAAACTATGGCAATCTTACTTTCTTGATGTTGGCAGCTTGTTGCTTATGGTCCCTTTCCCACAGAAGCGCTTTTATCCAATTTATTGACTCTCTAAGTTTAATAGCGTGAAAACATATAGCCTAAAGCGTGACGTAAGTGTAGAGCTTACTATTAAAGAAGGAGTTATTTAAAAATATGCTATGATTGCTAACATCTTACGCCACAAAGTAGTGTGTGTTTACACTTTATTACATTAGTATAGATGAACACACGTACTATTATTAATATATCTATAAATTGAACATTAGCATTTTTTAAAACAATTTAACTTCAAAATAACACATTGCAATTTACCAAATACATTTATATCTATACTAATATAATAAAGCATAAACACACACTACCTAGTTATGTAAGATGTATAGCATATTTTTGAATAATTCTTTCTTTAATAAAAAGCCCTACACTTACGACATGCTTTAGGCTTTATATTTTCAAGCTATTAAAATGAATAATATGAAAAAACTACAAGCAAGGGAAGGATGAAAACTACAAGCTGACAACATAAAAAAGCAAAGTTTCGTGGCAACTGTAATCTTATCCAATGTCAAAAGGCTTTCGTTGTCAATTGTACAATGGCAATTGTAAATTTCACAAATGTAAATAATAAAACAAAGTTTTCATAATTTAGTACGGATGCAGCCGCACCAGAGCGTTTTTCAATATAATATAATTAATATTTACTGGAAATCGGTGTTTTACAGTAAAATATGTTAAATACTCACAACATAAGCTCCAACAACATCCTTCTCAGTGAATAATTTCCCGTACTCCTTGAACTCTCCCTCGTTGACGGCGCGGCCCGTGTTCTCGTAGCCCCAGCTCAGCTGACCGTCACCTACAATTATACAAGATTATTCAGATTATTCATATTTTCCAATATATTAGGAATATAAAACCATCGCCATATTGCGAAAACATGCAATTAATTTCTTTGCTTTAAAGCTGATATCTATACTAATTAGATTTTCTTTCGAATATGAAAGAAATTCTTTGAAATTCTCACTTTGACGCATTGATTATGTAGTTGTCATTTTGGTTGCGATCTCATATATTATAGAACATATGGGAGTAATACAAAATGTTTATCTACCTGTATAGATATATCCCTGTTATAAATTTTATAACAACGTTGTATCTGACAGGAATATTAAAGGCCTGTCCCACCACTGACTGATAGACTCAGATAGCTTAAAGATGAAGCCACTGTCAGATAAGGTAACAAAATCCGATATTTCCATCACATATTTTACACATTAGATTTTTATCAGACAATTTACATAGTGGTGGGACAGGACCTTAATATCTTAGTACACTACAATACTATCTTTAATAGTAAAAAATCTGTTATAACTTTAGTGTGAATTATCTTTACAAAGACAACCATATAAAAACAAAGAATAACAGAGAAGATTTTTATCATAGACTAGCTGTTGCTAGCGACGACCACGTGAAATTAAAATATAATAAAAAAAATAACCTATGATACTCACAGACAAATTACCTTTCTAACAGTGAAAGAATTTTTTAAATCGGCCCAGTAGTTTTTAGGTTAATGGAATACAAACAAAAATACAATTCTCTCCTCAAATTCTTTTGCATTGTTATACAATATTTAATAAAAGCGCATAGTAAGCCTTATTTCAATTAAATCTAAGTGTGTGTGTAGCCTTGTAATAGTTAAACTATTTAGATAAAATGTCTAATTTCTGTTTAACTCACCGAGATGTAAATTGGAGTCATCAGTTGACCAGCCCACCCTAAGTCCATTACTGATCACCTCCTTTTCACCAGCCTCAGTCGTTGTTACTACTGTACCAACCCGCACCTGATTAGAAAAAAACAATTAACGCCACATACTTAAAAGCTTATCAATTTACAACCTATTTCTCGCAACTTCGTCCGCATTTAATTTAAAAAAAAAATATCGGTGTGTGTTCTTTCAGAATATGTGATCTGTGACAAGTTTTAACAATATCCGTTTTGGAGAAACTTAGTAATAAACATCCATACAAACTTTTGCTACAATATTAGCTACTTTGCTACTTTTGATACATGATTTATTGTAATGTTTTAATGTGTATTGTAACAAATGGTTATAATACTAATATTATAAATGCGAAAGTTTAGATGGATTGATGTTTATTAGAGTTTATAGCATAAACAGCTCAACGAATCTGGATGAAAATTGGTATAGACGAAGAGGATAGTCTGGAAGAACAAATAGGCTACTTATTTGTTTTTTTTTTTAATTCCTCGTTGAGGGAGTGGCGGTCGAAAGCTTATTGATAAATAATAACTGTAATTATGCTTGCGATTCCATACATCACAAGATATACGGAAGTAAATACAAAATATTGATCTGCCTGTTTAGCAATCACATCATACATCTTGTATGACAAGATATATTTGCTGTTCACAGGAAAAGTTTAATGAAGTTAGTGTAGAAATATATATGCCAGTAAAATGGAACAGTAACTTGCATTCCACATAACAGTACATTTCAGTGTTACTAAATTTTAATGCGTATCTCTAGTAAGTCTAGACTTTAGATCGCCGTGACATGATAATCTTATTAAGTTTTTTTAATTCCACGCAGACGAGGTCGCGGGCAAAAGCAATCTTTTATAATTATGTAAACTATATTTATACTAGTATAATAAAGCGTAAACACACACTTCTTAGTTATGTAGGAAGTTAGCAATCACAGTATATGATTGAATAATTCGCCTATTAATAAAAGTCCTACATTTACGACAAGCTCTATTCATTTTCACGCTATTAAACTTAAGGGGTAAATAAATTGCAAATACTGTTAAGCGGAAAAGTTACAAAAACTACAAGCCGATAAAATTAAACAAGCAAGATTGCCTTGTCATTTGAACTTTGACATTTTAAACGTTATACAAATGTAAACAATTGCACTAATATTATAAATGCGAAAGTTTAGATGGATTGGATGTTTGTTAGAGTTTTTAGCCTAAACGACTTTACAGATTTCGATGAAATTTTGTGTAGATGTAAAAGATAACAGGTAAGTACACTTTTGTTTTATTTTAATCCCACGCGAACGGAGTCGCGGGCGAAAGCTATTTATAATTAGTTGCAGATAAAGCGGGGAACAGCTAGTTAAATATATAGAAACCTCAAAGCAGACGCGTCCTGCATTAACGCCGTGCGTGGCGCGGCAGCCGGCCCACGCGTGCGCGAGCGCGCCCTCGTTCATCGGCACCACGCAGTTCAGCTCCGGCAGCTCCAGGAATTGATTCAAGTCACTGTCATCTGGAAAAACAAACATCAATTATTACCAAAGAAAAAGTAAACAGTCTTGTTCTTCCAAACTATCCTGTACATCTATACCAAATTATCCAAATCCGTTCAGGAGTTTAGGCTACAGATTCTAACACCCATCAATCTAAACTTTCATATTCATAATACTAGCTTTCGCCCGCGACTTTGTCCGCGAGAAATAAAAAAAGTTAATAGTAGCCTATGTGTTATACGAGACGATACTATCCGTGTATGCCAAATTTCATCGAGATAAGTTTAACAGTTTAGACTACAAACTGTAACAAACATCCATCCATCCATCTCAACTTTCGCATTTAAATATTAGTAAGATTCCTAAGACATACTGATAACATGTTTGGGTTTAAAAAATCTGTCTGTGTGCGTTTGTTGTGTATTTTTCTTATAACGGCTCCATCGATTTTTCGGAACTTTGACATAAACATATAAAAGGCTTCTTTTAAAATTTTAAATAAACTGTTAAAATTGCTGGCGACCACTATTTTAAAATGTATACTTACACCAGGAAAGTGTAACTTTATCATCATTGACCTCAGGCTCTGGGGCTTTAGTCGCCGTCTCAACCTTCCTCAGAAGTTTCTCCTCCTCCTAAAAAATACATTATTACTAAATAAATTTCAATTTCATTAATTTCTGTAATTTAACCGATGTTTTAATGACTTTATTTCTATTTTAATTATCCAATTGTTTTACAAACTTTTAACATAGAGAAGTTTTATGACAACTATGATCTAGATGTAATATTTTTAGGTGACTTTAAGTTTAATGTTTCTAATATAAAATTAGTGAGCGAAAGAGGACCGCATTAATAAGTTATTAAAACTTATGTGAGACATTATACTGTTAGATGACAACACCTCAGGAATGGCAACGCCGCATGGAAGTTGTCAGCACTGCATTTAGATGACAACACTGAATACTCAAGTAGGCGCGTGCATAAAAACTAGAATCCTACTGTCTCGTGCACTTCGCCCAAGATTTGAGATAATAGTGTCGTTACTCTGCCCGTGTGTTTTTCTTTCTTCTACCCGGTTGTATACTGCCAGACTTTATTCTTGATTTTGGGTTATTTTTGGTTATTGTAATTTTCCCACTTATATTAAAAAATTTTTTAAAAGTAACTAACGTTTTATTTATAACAAGACTTAACTCACGTGAAGAAATCGGTATAGGCAGCGAAGACAGTGATTAATAATTAATAAAATAAATGTTTGTACCTCAATAGGTGGAGTTAGCACTTCATTGGTGACCGCAACAGTCTTGTAGAAGTTACTCCAGCGAGCTTTCTTCTCCTGCTTGCGTTTTAAACGTTGCAACTTTATCGGATCCTAGAAAAATATATCTTTACAATAAAAGTATTTAAACAAATCATATATCTTCTTACACATATTTATGTATATTATGTGTAAAAGCCGTCATCGCCCACGAATCCTAATGGTCTACTACTACCTAACTCGTAATCACCCGACTAGGGACATTCTAGGAAATCTATACATTTACAAATTCAAACGGAAATGTATTAATTAATTATGTTACTGGATATGCAAAGATACAATATGTTTACGATTATTCAAAAAAAAATAAGAATATTTCTCTGCATAACGAAATTTCAAGCAATTTTCTTTATGGCACATGTCTTTTGCTGTAGCAGCCTATACCTAATAAATATATACAAGAACAGGATATATGTGTATTTAATATTTGAAACACCATTTTACACATTGCTAAAACAACTTCGAAGTTACATATTTACCCTTGGAATATATACAAGTATACAATTGCTAGTTTTCTTACATTTCTGGCAACATATAGACTAGCGATTGCTGGAGAGTTTGTCAATAAAAAAATTAAAAAAACTAGTATTATAGGATATGAAATGCCTTGGCCATTTTTTTTTATAAATAAGTATGGAGCATGTAATACAGAGAGCAAATTAATGTTACATTCCATGTTTAATTAATTTTAAAGCAATAATACACTACATATTACAAAAATGTATAAAAACCAATCTAGATTATATTAAATCTTTTTGTACAATTTGTATCAATTTGGAGTTTCTTTCTTGTAATATAATATATTGTACCTTGCTAAACTCTTCAAATTTCTTTGCATCTTCTTCCGCCTGTTTCCGCTCTCTCTCCAGCCTCTCCTGTTCTCTTATCAAGAGTCTTTCGTTCAGCAATGCCCACTCCTCTTCTTCTGTCAGCTCAAAATCTCTTTCTCTACCCTAGACAATTACAGAGACAATTTTATTACTTTATTTTGATTAAAGAAATTTAAAACACTAGCTGTTTCTCGCGTCTTCGTCTACGTGAAATTATAAAAGTAGTAAAAGCATAGACTATGTTACTGATAACATAGCTTTTAAATGGTGAAAGAAGCTTCGCAATTGTGACATTAGTTTTTGAGTTATTTTAATTTATACAAAAATCCAAATCTTTTCTCTTTATAACATTACTATAGATAGGTGAAAAAAATAAAAGACAGTTTGTGTATTGACATACCTCTTCCGAGACTCTCCTATCTCTACTTGCGCTCTCTTCTTCTCCATCATGGTCCATCTTCTGTTCCTTCTCTTCAACTTCAAGTTTCTCCTGTTGACCTTCTCCATCATTACTGTCGTCTTTCGGACTTTCAGGTTCATACAATTCAGGTGTATTAACTGTAACAATATTAAAAACTTTATTTACCTACATTTAGACATATACATTAGAACAAGTTAAAAGGCTTTTAAACATTTTTATTTACATTGGTTTTCTTTACAACAGAACACATTGTTTGGATTGAAATAAAACTATATATATATATAATAGCTCACTTGCGTGTATTATGATTTTTACAATTTTTTTTTGTAAGTTTAAACAATATGTTATAACTGCGTCAACGGTAAGTAAAGTGACGTTTCGCTGTAGTGTCAATGCAGAAAAAACGTCATCGCGCCGGCCAATAGGATGTCCGTTAATATTCGTGAAGTTGGACGCGAATGATGCGTAGACACACATGTATTATCAGGGATTCTGGCTGTATTCCACATTTACCCTTCCCATAAGATGTATGATGAATAAATATGCAAATACAACAAAACATTTTAGCTATTTTGGGTGTAAAGTAAGAGAATATCACTAGAAAATACATGTCAGGGTGTACAGATATTCTATAATTTAATTTAATATAAAAAATATCTATTCAATAATAAATGAATAATCGATAACGTTTTTTGTAGAAGGGAAAAATATTTCCCTTGAGCATAAAAGGGTTAAAAGCTGCAATTTGAAAGTTTGTACACATTGAAACAACAAGGAACAATAACACAGATCACCAAAGAAAATGTTTTATAATAGAATATTTAACATTTAAATATTTACCATATACAGATAAATCATCAAAGGACATCCTTACCTTCTTCTTTTAGTTGGTCATCTTGATCCATTTCTTCACTCTTGCTTCTGTAAATAAAAATAACATGATTATTTTCAATTGATTTAAATTTTATATATGTATGCACATAAAAGGTAATTATATGCTATAGTTTTATCCAACTAGCTTTCGGCCGTGACTCTGTCCGCGTGGAATTAAAAATAACAAAAGTGAGTAGCCTATTTTGCCCAATCCGCTGTGGGAGGCCCATAAACAAGAAATAGATAGATAGTAGCCTATTTTTTCTTCCACACTATCCTCTACATCTTACTACGCCAAATTTCATTGCAATCCATTCAGCCATTTAGGTTACAAACTCTAACACAAATTCATCCATCTAAACTTCCACATTTATAATACTGGCAAGATATTTAAAAAAAAAATCATTGCTCATAAATTTGATTTCGGTATATTGTTTATTACACATTTACCTTGTACAAAACAATAATTTTAAACCTAAATTATGTTTTCCTGTGTATGTTTGTTTTCCTATATACTAGTCTATAGTGAGTCTGCTTATATTTAAAACAATGTCTTAAATATAATCAGTTCTAAATATAACCTTGTAGTCCACACTCAGTTTTAACTGTACTAACAACAGTAACAGAGTTCAATTAGAACTAACCATCTGTAGGGTACTTTACAAATTAACTTGAGACAGTTGTCATATATTATGGATTGCATAATATAATACTAAGAAGGGACAAAGATTAACATATCAACAGGTGAAAGGCTATTTGTTTCACATTACATATCCAGCATAGGTGATTTTTTTCTGCATTGTTAATAAACAATGAAGTATGCAGAATTATAGTAATTTTAATCTAAAACCTGTCTGAAAATCTTTCAATTTATATTATTGTTAGTATTTGTTTATATGCTTTTTTCTAAAAACTTTAAATGGCTCTCCTAAACATTTAACCTAATGGTGCTTAAAACAAATAGCCTTTCACCCATAGATATGTTTATACTGTTGCCTTATCAAATAAATATATCCATCTGTACTGAGTAAGGCCAGCACAAAATATGCAGGAGTTGGGAAAGGGTAATTGCAGCAGAATCTCAAGTTAATTACTAAATACATCTTTTACTCACTCTTCTTCATTTACAACTTCTTTTATATCTTCAACATCCGGTTTCTTTGGTGATTCCTCTATCGGTGGAGGTTCAACTTTCTTTGGTGATTCCTCCTTAGCAACCTCCGGCTCAGGATCTTTAGGTACCTCTGATTCTGTTTTAGTGTCTTCTTCAATTGGTTCTGGAGAATCTTCTCTTACAGGCTGTAAAAAAAAAAATTGTTAATACTCTAGAATGACATTTTATAGACAGAATTTTTGTATTTTTGCTTTAACAATTCAATTTTTGTAAAGATTTTGAGTAACATATTGACATCTTTAAAATGTTATACACACTATTGTAATCACATTACTATGAATAATAATTTAAACTAGCTTTCGACCGCGACTCCGCCCGCGCAGAATAAAAAAAAACAATAGCAAGTAGCCTATGTGTTATTCCAAACTATTTTTTCTACATCTATGCCACATTTTATCGAGATCCCTTCAGCCGTTTAGGCTACAAACTCTAACAAACATCCATCCATCCATATTTTCACATTTACAATATTAGTAAGTTAGTTTTAAATAATATAGTGTATGTAAACAAACCTTAGCCGGTGTTGCTAATCGTGAAGTTGAAGATCTTCTAGTAACTCTAGCAGCTGGAGAGGTTTTCCTTGGAGTTTCCGGCTCATCTATTTCCTCTGTAGTGGTATCCATGATAGATGTGTCCGGAAACACTGTAACAACATGTTTACATTGCATCAAAAATTATTTCCCAGACATTTCTGGCACTGTTTATTTTTGTAAATTTACCGTATCTTCTGAGTTGTTACAGCATTTGTTTTTGTATACATTTTGTTACAACTTTTATTTTTCTTAAAAAGCAAGATAAGGGTGTGTTTTTCATATGTATGAAAGAACAGGGAAACCAAGGAAATGGTAAATTGAATTGCTACTTTGAGATAAGCTAGTTGCTTACATAAACCTGTACATATTGGCTTCCAACTAGTATGAAATGAAATAGGTTTTCTGCATTAGGACAAATCGACAATGTTTACTGACATCAGCTTATACAGGATATAATAGCACTTTTATAATTTTTAAAATATTCCTTAACCGAACATGGCGGGAGTTTAATGCACGTGCTAATATTGCGCATAATTAGAAAATTCGCGAATGTGTAGAGGTTATAATTGTGCAGTACCTAAAAAACATTTGGCATTACAAGTTACCTTTATCAGTTTTAGCTTCAAGGGCTTTCTTCAATCGTTCTACCAATGCCGCTTTATTACCCTTGGTGTCCAAACCAAGAGCTCCAAGCTCGGATCTAAGATCCACAACTTTCATTTTAGCTGGATCCATTTTAACCTTAATTATTGTCCACAATGCACAGTCAAATAGTTTTATTACACTACGTATCACGTTTTAACAGCCATTACATTACTCACAAAAATTATAACACTTAAGCGCCAGAACAAACTAACATGGCGTCACAATCGTGATGATGCGAGGTTAAGCGGAAATTTGCGTTCCATTTTACCATTTTAAAAGATTCACAAATCGATTTTTGTTTTTATCTTATTTAAATTAACTATGTCTCTGGTCAAAAATGTTTGCATTAATTATTTACAGTTAATTTTCTATTATTATAAATATAAGGTATCACGCGATTGGATAGAAAAGTTATTTTCAAAAACAATGTTCTATGAAACGAATAAACTTAAAGTAACACGTTATCCAATCAAGTTCAAGTAAAACTGGCGGCAAATATTTTGTTGCCAAGGTAAGAAATTCCTTTTTTTGATTAAAATGGAGGATTGATTTTATTAATGATTATAATAATTATTTATTTACGTTATTATATCCCGACGACTATGAAAATTTTGTCGCCAGGAAGGGAAAAACATTTTGGTTTGCAAGTTACTAAGCAACAAACGAAACAGTTTATTATGAGAAATTCAAGGATAGTTTTTTACACGGCAATTTGTTTTTAAATTTTTATAGACTGTATATAATGGCGCGAAAAGAAGAACCAAAAAGTATGATTTAAATAATAGAACTTGAGTTACTTTGACTATGCGATTTATTTATCTTTCTATTTCAGTCCAAGCAAACAATGAATTGGAAAAGAAAATTATGGAAGCTTTCGAAGTATTTGATCATTCAGGAAAACAAGTTGTGGATGTTAGAGAAATTGGGACGATACTGCGCTCTTTAGGTAAATGTAGTTAAATAATATTTTACAAAGAGACACTTAGATTAATTAACGAATTCTTTAGATTACAAACTTTGTTGTTAAGTTTACTTAATTGTATTAACTACTTACTTGGTTTCGTTAATTTGTCTTGTAATGAATGGCTTCAAATGTAATTTTGAGTATTATCTATGCTTCGAAGACATTTACTTACTTTGTAATATAGAATTGCAAAAAATACACACAGTTAATTTATTTTAACCATATACTGGTAAAAACTACATTAAAATGTTTAAGGTTGCTGTCCAACGGAGGCTGAAGTGCAAGAAGTAATTTTGGCGACTGAAAACAAAGAAGCGACAGGGAACGTACCCCTTATTAACTTTTTGCCTTACATGTGCAAGGCGTTAATAGAACATAGGTGAATAATGTGTCATTTTCAGTGTTTACTTCATTGCATACTTTACTATATAATAGCATTACTACCGATATAATGCACGATAAATTATCGGGATAACTAATGATAATGAAGATTATTAGTCGCCTCTTATTTATTATTTTAAAGTTTTAATATGGATTAAAATTACCTACAATTAAAATCAATTGCAGCAACATGGCTTACCCAGAGTAAATTTTATAAAGAATTCACAACTTCTTTTAAAAGTTCATTTAAATGAACATTAATTAAATTTGTACACCTCCTGTTCGTGCCGTAACTAAAACGGTTTTACGTGTATTGATTGCAATCGAGATATACAACCGGTAAAAACATAATAGAAAAGCGATATAACAAGTACCTACTTAATACAGCAGTAAAATTGGCGGTCATTCGATATTTCGCGCCGTTTCACAGATAATCAAATTGTTAAAATGGCAAAGAGTAAACAACCTTTTCATTTACACGCAAAAAATATTTAATTAGATAATTTTATTATTTTTTTCCCTGCGTGCTTAACGATTGCTTCTCCTTTTAGATTTTATCCTGCAAGCGCAGAAATATTACTTGCCGCGTTTCGATACTTTGATAAAGACAGCCGTGGTTACCTTACTAAAGACAGATTTACTCAGTTGATGTTAGAGGAAGGAGAACCTTTCTCACAGGTATGTTTTATACATTTATTTGTATAATTCAATATATGATTGTATTTCCTTGGGTGCCATACAAAAGTATTTTGTTCCACAAACGATTTGGTCCTTGAAAGCTGGATATTTGAAAAACATGTTCACTATATTTTAGGAGGAATTCGATGAAATGATGCAAACAGCTCTGGACCCCGTAACAAACAACATCACTTACGAATATTATATCAACCAATTGATGGTATGTACAAATATATTTTTTTACACATGTTTCGAAGGATTTGTACATAAAATAACTCAGATATTGACTATACAAAGGAAAATATTCTTTTGTATTTAGTTGGTGTTTCAATTAGAAGAAAAAAGTTGTACTTTAAAATAGTATAATTTCATAGTCAATAAGTGTTGTAAAGGAAAAAATAATACATTTGTAATTTCCCGCTCTATACCTAACACAAGCAAGTAAAATATAAAGCAACTAATTTAATGGAATTAAAAAATTAATTATTCAAAAACCAATCATTCTAATTCAATTGTTTAGTTGATCCAGTTTACTTGATCTCCTGGTGCGGATCGTTCTTGGTGTGGCAACACTTTGTCGTCTTTTCATTGGTGTATCTTTACCAGTGACATTTATCACATTGGCAACATTTGTTTCTGATTCAGTGTTACTTTCATCAACTTCTTGTATTGTATCTAAGTTTTTAGCATCAGCAAGCTCCTTGGTGGGAGAATATCTAGTTTCTTCAACTGTGTCACTTTTTATTTCAGTTGAATCTTCCTCTTTCACTACTGCATCAATGTTTTTACTATCAGCTTGTTCAGTATCAGAGGGTTGTTTATTTTCAGGAATATCGTTTTGTTCTTTTTTAATTGTAGTAAGAAGATCAGTTATTTGATTTTCAAGATCTGGGCTCAGCATAACTTCGGGTTTCTCATCTTCTGTTTTTTCCTTAATGGGAGTTGTTGTAGTGCTGAGAGCTTGCTTGTCGTTTGTCTTGATAATAAGTTTGCAATTCCCTGCAAAATGTACAAATTGTAATTGAAATTTTATGCACAGAGTACTTATTTTAATAAAAACAGACAAATATAGCGATAAATCTAAACAAAAAGAATAGTTGAAAAAAGTAAAAGGTACAAACAAAGAAGACTAATTTAATCGCCCAACACTGAAAGAAATCTTAAAAACCGCACGTCGTAAGCGTCGTTTACAATTTGACACAAGTAAACATATAATGAAATTTGGTGATTACATGATATTTCCTATATGAAGATGCTGCTATTATTCTAAATAGTCAGTCAGTTACTTCAAATGCGTTTTTTTAACAGTTTTCTTATTCTTTTGTGTAAGAAAAAAAGCAGTTTTACAATTCATCTTTTTTGTTACTGCATATCTCAGCTCTTGGTTGTCCTTTTTTACGTGGTAGTGCGTTATTTATTGAACATTGTAAAAATACATACCAACAACAGTATCGCTGGCAGCAACCGCCCTTTCATAGTCTTGTTCATTATTAAATCCAACAACTAGTAGATTTTGAATCACTTTATGCTTCTTAATTGTCACCGCATTGAGTGATGTGAAAAATTTATATGCATCAGCTCTGTTAGGGAGAGAAGGTTGACCAAGTACCTGTAATAATTAAATTATTGTTTACTAGCAACTTTGACGTAGTTACTTAGTAATAATGAAACTTTCTTATAGTGAAAAAACTTTTGCCCATGTTTAATCATCATAACCAGCTCACTATTCCCCACCGAGGGGATTGGAGCCTACCCTAAAGTTACTAAAGGTGATTAGGCCATAGTCAACCACGCTGGCACAGTACGGGTTGGATGAGTTTACACATATCTTTGCATTTCTTCGCCGATATGTGCAGTCATCACGATGTTTTTCCTCGCCGCGAGAACGTTGGATAAATTTTGTACATATGAGAATTCCAAAAATCGAAAATCACATTGATACAGGGCGGGATTCGAACCCAAGACCTGTAGATTACAAATCAAGTGCTTAAACCCCTGAGCCACCGATGCTCGACGACGCGAGAGGTTCCAATGTTTAACTTAGTGTTAATTCAATACATACAAAAATAACAATTATAATTATAAATAAATAACTAGATAAAACCATAACATAAGAAAATCTTGCTTTAGAATATAACCATATTTAATCAAATTTAACTAAATATTGTATACATATTGTTTCAAACTATTTTAGTAGAACAATGAACCTTAATGATTACCCTAAATATTAAAATTGGACCTTTAAAAAGGAAATTAATATATGTAATTGTCGAACATACCTTAACAAAGTATTGTTGAGGTTTAGGGGTTGCCAGTTGTGCTGAATCTTCTTTCTGTGCAGATTCCAATGGTTTTGACTCTTCAATTGTTTGGTCAAGATTATCTCCAGTTACTTCATTAGAGGTTTCAATTTGTGTATTATCATTGTTTTCATTCTCTACTATAGCCTCTTCCTCATTTGTATCAAGATTTTCAATCTTAATAGAGGTTTCTTGTATGTCCTTATTATTTTCTACTACAGGCTCTTTATTATTTTTGTCAACATTTTGAGCCTTACTAAGATTGTCTGGATTTTTCCTATCAAATCTCCTCAGCATTCTCCTTCCTGTCATATTTTTAGTTATGAAAGTAGTGATTTCAGATTCAAGATCTAACATGTTTATAATTTTCTGCAAGATGAAGGAAAAAGGTTAAAAATAAAGCTGCTGTCATAAAAAGCACCATTTCTGGTATAATTTCTAGATATGGTTCAAATACAAAAACTGAATATAACAAAATAATACTGAAAACTTTTTTCTCATAACTATTTTACAATATCACTTAACTTTATCTCACAATGCAATATATAGACTTGAAGTTCCACTGTTTAATTTCGAATTTGGACCAAAATTAAAAATATTAACACTTGGCATGCGGGGTACGTTTTTTTACGTATTCGCAGCCTGTCGCTGGAGCGCGGGTCACATAAAAATACATATTTAGAACATTCGCTGTAAATAATACAGTAGCTTTCGATTCACTGTGATATATCAGGTGAACGAAATATCCCCGAGATTAACTAAAACAACACCCGCTGCACTTCTTGTATTAATGATTAGTGGACCCCATCGTTATTTCGATGATCCCCCTGCACATGTAATTCTGCACAAGTATTCCCCGCAGTCCAAGTTTTAACCAAATTCAATAGAAATGAGATATCTTTACACATATAATAGAAACAAGTCTATTTCTAAAGCGATTTTGTACAGCCTAAAGGTTTGTTATAATTTCTGACTTGTATTCAACACAACTGTATTTAAGTTATATTTTACCTGAGTAAATTTAGGCAGAACTTGAGGTAAATTTTCTTCAATCAATACAGTTGTCAATGAATTCATAAATTCTTGTGTTAATTTAACATCTCTATTTGTTTCCGTTTTTTCATCACCAGAGGCATTGATTAGTGGCTGTATTAATTTTCTAACTTCAACATCTTTTCCCTCACACAATTGTTTCATCTAAAAAAAAATAAACAATCAATTAGATATGATATTTATGAATAAAACAAAGATTTTTTAAAATAAATAAAATATATATTGCTAATGTTTACCTTATCCAATAACTCATCCAATTTATCTGACATGATTTTGGTAATATTTGATGTCAAATAACTGTCGAAATCTAAAAAATAAAAATTCGTTAATATTGTTTATTAGCCTCAAAAATTAATACATCTTAGTTTTCCTAAATCTCTTTACCTTTAATAAACCGTATTGAGTATTTACTAATATTTAAATTTAATTCAATGATACAATTTTAATGTTCTTCAGTAAAAAAGAATGCTTTCAAAAGCTTAATCAATCAGACAATATAATAAAACATACAGACGAATTGAGTACCTCCTTCTTTTGGGAAGTCGGTCAAAAATATAGATTCCGGCGCAATTTAGGTATTTAAACGAAAGTGTAGGTAGTTTTAAATAATACGCAATAAACATCACAAAACAGACTGAGGTAGCGATAGCTATGTGGTTTCTCTCAAAATACATTCAAAGATAATTCAGCAAGTAATTTTTTTTGCAATCCACTGCAAAACGGAAATGAAGGGTAAAATGTCAAATCTATTGCGGGACAAATGAGATGTTAAGAGTTTTGACTATTAATAAGTCAATGACAGACACTTTTTCTTTAATACAAATATCTCTGCCTGAGAAAACACAAACTATAGCAATAGACATGTTGAGAGACACAAGTAATGTATTGGTAACCCTGATATAATCTTCATAAAAGAATGAAAGAAGTTTTATATATAAAGTGAAGAAACAGACCAACAAAGTGTGTAACTTGCCATCTTCAATTCATGGAAAATAGACAGACCAAATTGGCCTAAGTAATTTTTTTGTAGTATAGTGGTAAACAGAAGTTTGCTACACATAAGACAATAATTATGTACTATTGCATATGTATTTTTTAGATCAAAGAAATTATTGAATAAACTTCATGAATTATTTCTACCAAACCATGTTTTGATACAAAACACAAAAGCATTTTTTGACCAATGAGCTTAGTTGAGTTATGTGAGATTTGTTGAAAAGACAAATCTTACTAATATGAATGCAAAACTTTGGATGGATGTATAATAACCATGTAAGTTCAGAATGGCTGAACAGATATGGATGAAGAACAGAGAAAGTTGAATCTGTATTAGCGCATCTTTTAGTTTTTTCCACACCAAATTGGCTAAGACGCCAGTAACTATAGGGTAAGAACAAATAATGTTTTACATGATATTCGGATAAAGAGTATTGAAAGAAAGGTATATAAAAAATTATAATTTTGGGGCATAGTAAATAAATATAAAAAGTAAATAATCAGGAAGGTGAAATGTGTATAAGGACTTGTGTTGAATTTGAATCTTCGATAATCTTCATTTTAATATTGATATTTAATACACCTCACGGCGTATTCATTTAGTGATATATAATTCATTGTACATACATTGAATTAAAAAAAATATAATTAACCGTGAAAAAATCACGAAATTTTTTCATCATCCTTAAAAAAGATGTAATTAAGCAAAACACCTGTACCTGCAGTGACATTGGCATTATCCAAAATATGCTTGTCAGTATGTAGAGGGTATGCCTCGCGATATGCAGCCACTATATCGTCAGGCTTTCCTACCGCTCTGTTGAGCATTAGAGACATCAGCCGTTCACGAATTGTTTTCCTTATATAGCGTTGCATATGTTTAGTATTGAAAAACGCGGTAGTTTCTTCATCAACACAATATTCGTTCTTCATTTTCTTTACAATGAAGCCCAAAGCTAACCCTAACCGACCACACTGTTGTTTACTAGGTTCTTCAGTGGCGCGTAAAATTGGAAAATGCACAGGTTTTGGAATTGGCGTTTTCTTCACTTGTGCGGGAGCAGAGTTAAGTTGTGTACTGTAAAACTTAGATCTGACCCTCTTGGGGGCCATATCTACCATTTGGCGAACTACTGGGTTGGGCACGACACCCATGAGAGGCATCGGCTGAGCTCTGATTTGAGGAATCGGAGGGACATAAGATCCATGGTGCTGAGGAACAGAGCTTTGGTTGACAATGAACCTATCCTCATCCCACACATTGATTGGGGGACGTCTTTTCGGTTGTGTACCGCCATAGCTACGCTCAGAACCACCATCATAAAGATGGGCAAAGTTTTGAACGCTGCTTTTGGTTTGGTAATATGGTAAACTCCGGGAGGGTTGATCACTTTCAAACGGCCTCTGAAAATTGTAAGAAATGTTGACAAATTACATATATGGTTGGTATAATTGAAATTTAGGTGACTTACAAAGATTGTAAATCTGAAATTTCAATTGATTACACCAACTTGTTTCTGATTTCATGTTGGTCCAGTACAAGTATAGTTAAGTGTCTAACAAGTAACACAAACTTTGCAGTGTTACATTTTGCATATTATGAGAAATTTAACAAACATCTCATATTAATGCAACTAAAGATTTTACATACACAAACATTATTTACGGGACACTAACATAATAAGCCGATTCTGTAGAGAATGCGCAATTCTTATGGATATATTATGACTTAATACAGGAAAAATCGGTAGGAGGTGCTTCACACTATGTTAACACCACTAAATCCTGAAAATTATACATTTACCAGCAATAAATGATAAACTTCCTCACCTCCAAGAACTATCTATGTAAAGGAGTAGTAAATAAAAGAGTGGTTATAACTTTAGTAAGTCCTTCATTACCTTCCTAATGTTGAGTCGTTCATTAGCAAGCCTCTGCTGTTCATATTGCAAAGCATCTTGTTTTCTCTGCAATATTTCCATCTCAGTCTCCAAATTCTAAAACCAATTTGATACTAATACAATATTATTCAGCCATCAGTCAATAATAACTTATGTTAATTACAGTTAGATGCTAACATGATAGATACGTCTTTGATTGAATCATGAAACAATGAATAGCTGGATTACTCTAATAATAGACAAACAATCAGTACCTAGAAGTGTCTTCTTGAAAGATCATTTGCAATACAATTTAAGCTAAAACTAAACCATTATCGTAACTGCTACATGGGTATAAAATAAATAACTAAGCTAAGCATCAGTCTACAAGTCTATCTAAGATTCAAATTCAATTTTGACTTGTAAAAATACAAAACGAGATTACAGGTCGAATCTTCCACTAACCAACTAAGCAAAAATACAAAAAAGTAACAAACACATATTAAAATAAATAAAATACTTACACGCGTATGACCTGGTACAAAGGGATTGATGGCTCCACCGCGACCACGACCACGTCCACGCATCATACTATTACGATTCATGTTTCTTTGTTTAACACCGGACACCGGTAAGTTATAAAATATGGATACCAACAATTGTCTTGAAATATTTAGTTTAAAACAAAAGTGGGTCGTAAAATTAAAATCAACCTTTTAAATATTGTTAAACTGCATCAGCGTCCGGTGACTTCAACCAAAAACAAAATGGCGGACAAACACCAGACAACCAGACAACTCCAGAGAAAAAAGAAATTATGAAAGCGCAGATAAAAAAAATATTGCCAACATTGTAGCAATTTCCAAACGTTATAGACTAATGTCAATAAAATCAAGCTATAAGTTTAAGGAAATTATAATTTTATCAAATGAACTGGGCAACAAACTATATATTTCCCTAAAAATTCATGTAGATTTTTTATAGTTTTTCTACACCTCCGCGTACCCAACCTTATTCCAACATATCCTAATTCCCAATAAAATCCCAGGTTGCACCAAAACACGTTTACGAAATAGCAGACGTTTTTGAAGAAGAGAGAAAAAGATTGGAGGAAGCTGCACCTAAGAAAAAACGAGCTTCTGAACTGTTGCGCGAAGCACAAAAACAATGATACAACGGATAATTCAAGTAAACAATAATGCAAAAGCATATTGATAATGCATAAATTTAAACATTTTTCTATCGTGTATTTTAGTTATTTATATTGTAGTCTGTTGGTAAAAGTAAACAAAACAAATTGTTTTATCCAAATTCAATATTTCTCCTTTTATTTCCAGGTCGATGATGAAATTGGCGACTCAACAGAAACACCAAAATAAATTACAATATGTCAAATATTTTAAACAATAAATACTAAAGCGCTTTTTTTTACATTTTTATTACTACCCTTTAATAGATATACCCATCAATAGATGTGAATATATTTTAACTATATGTTCTACAAACAATTTGTGTAGCTATGTAAGAGGGATAGAATTATAGACATTTACATTAACCAAATTGTATTCAAGCATGTGTATAATACACAAGGGCGGATCCAGCTTTGGCGCCAGGGGTTCACATAGTCATCATAGTCATAGTCGTGGTCAAGTCAAAAGCTTGACAAAATATGTAAATACATTTTGTCAAGCTCTTGACACCCCACCCCCCTGGATCCACCATTGATAATACAATGTTTACAGTAAAACAAATATTACAAGAGTTTTTAATGAAATCATTCTATATCTGAGCTACCACACTCGTCTAAAACGATCCCTTCAGAAATTATCGAAAGAACATCTTTGTCTTCAATTGCTAAGTGTTCATTAACTGTTTCTTTTGATGTTTTTTCGTCATTTTTCACTTCAACATTTTCATTCCCTTCATTATCTTCTGTTGGTCCTGTATTTACTTCGACATCTTTTTGTTGGTTAACATTCGTTTGTGTATCTTGTACTTCGGAATTTTCCGTTTGTAAATTATTCATTTCGTCTTCATTAACTTGGTCAATAATTTCATGTTCTTCCTTATCTTGTGTTGGTTCAGTTTCAACTTCGATTCCAGCAGACGTTTCTATTTTGGTTTCAACATTTGTGACGTTTTCTGTATCGTTAGTAGCTTCAGTTATATCAGAAACATTAGTAGATGTGTTATTTTCATTGCTTTTATCTTGTATTTCATTGCTTTCATCTTGTATCTCATTGCTTTTATTTTGTATTTCATTGCTTTTATCTTGTATCTCATTGCTTTTATCTTGTATTTCATCGCTTTCTTGTACTTTTTCAAGTACTATTTCTTTAGAAGCCTTATTTGCTACTATTATATTACTATTTTCTCCACTATCATTGTTTGTTGTATTTTTATCGTGTTGTGAGAAGGAGGTTTTCAAATTCGGCGGACATGTTCTGAAATTGTAGCATGCTTTCACATTCACTCTAACATCACCTGTGGAAAGATAAAAACATATTTTATTTGTATAAAACTTTACGCAGATTGCATACTATAAGTGCGAAAGTCTGTATGTATGGATGGCTGTTAGTAACACGGTATCTGCTAAACTTCTTAACAGATCTAGATGAAATGTAAGCATACATATAGAATATATTCCGGAAGACATAAAAGCTGCTATTTTTTCATTTTGCGCGGAATGCTGGCGACAGCTAATTCGTAATAACGCTTTCCAGCGTTGTTACATAGAAACCATATTACAATATTGTTGCGTAAGATATTTTCTTACCACAATAAACAACACCATCATTACAAGCGCGATCATAATCTTCGTAATTGCTGAATTGTGCAGCGAAAATCGGGGAAATATCGCTTATACGTTTGAATGTTTTCAAATTGTATTTCTTAATAAAGTCCACCAAAGCGCCTTTTTCAGGACGCATTTTGAAGATTAACTGTGAAAAAATATCCATTTAAGTCATATTCGAGACCTTTTATCCTACAGAACAGACATTTTGTAATTGCCTTCGATACAAGTATTAAATTGAATACCTTTGCATATAAACTGCTGTTAATATCCAACAATCTCTTGGTAATGTTTAATCCAATAAGCTGTAAAGGAAGTTATTATTTGTTAAACAATTGAGAATCAGAAATATCTATCTATCTATCTATCTATATATCTAATCTATACTATTATAATGAAGCGTAAACACACACTTCTTTGTTGCCTAATATGTCAGCAATTACAGCATATTTTTGAATAATTTTTTTTTTTTTAATAAAAAGCCCTACACTTACGTCACGCTTTAGGCTATATATTTTCACGCCATTAAACTTAGGGGGTAAATATTTTGGATAAAAACCCTAATGTGGAAAAGAGAGAACGATTTTGACCGGACGTTCACTGCAGGGTAGCTGACATAGACGGGCATATTATAGACTACTTTTTATTCCGCACTGTCAAAATGGCGTAACGGGTGATCCAAACTTTCGCTAACGAAGTTTGCGGACGATAGCTCTTCATTAACTTTAAAACTCCTATTCTTGTTGTCTCTATGTTCTTCACTTTACTTTCTCTTTCTTTTCGTTTATACTCACGTTTCTCAAATCATCTCCAGCCTCATTACGAATCTTCTCAATGACATGCTCTTCTGCCAAACTTAAAGGCTCGTCCGGGAGTTCTTGCCACACCTGTCAATACAAAAAAAAATATAAATAGGAAAGAATTGTATTTTTGTTCGTATTGAAGAACTCAAAAATTACTGGACAATTTAAAAAATTCTTTTACTATTTAAAATTACGTTATATCACAAAAAAATAGGCTACTTTTTTCATTATTTCTTTTATTTCACGGGGATAAAGTCGGAGCAACAGTTAGTACAAAATACGTTAAACGTTATTTCGAATTAAGAAAGATTTTTCTTTGATTCGTAAAGAAACTAATGTTACCTTAATCATAATATCTTCGAGTTCAGAATTCAACGCGCTAGACAACAGAGGACTGAGCTCTTGATGTTCTTGCGAAGGTTTATCCTCGGCATTGTCTTTCTGTACTTTAACTACCGCTTCTTCTACAGGGACAAGAAATAAAAAATTACCTTAATCTATCTATACTATTATAATAAAGCGTAAACACACACTTCTTTGGTGCCTAAGATCTCAGCAATTACAGCATATTTTTGAATTATTCTTTTTTTTAATATTATTAAACTTAGGGGGTAAATATTTTCATAAAAACCCTAATGTGAGAAAGATACGATACGAGCAGCCAACATCAAGAAGCAAGATTGCCATAGTAAGGTCATTGGTATTTTGACATTTGCAATTGAGAATTTGATAAATGTTAACAATAAAATAAAATTTTCATAGTTTCATGCGGATGAAGCCGCACGGGAACAGTTAGTTTCTAATAAAGATACTTAGTTTTTTTAGTTAGATAATTTTACCTGCTTCCTTCGATGTTGAAGGAATATTTGAAACTTCTGTCTCGGACTGCTCCGGTGCTTTATTAACTGATTCTTTTTCTACTAGCTTCGCTTCTGTTGATTTTTTATTTATTTCTTTGTTTAACACCGGCTTTCCTGCAATGTTTGCTCCGCTATCATTGTTTGGAAGCACTTTTTTTACATCTTTTATCGGAGCGTTTTTCTTCACTGGAAGGACTTTTTTAGTCGGTGCCTTGGTTACAGCCGGCTCATACATTGGGCGTTTAGGTGCTTCCCACTTATACATTGACATAGTCCTCTTCATCGCGATAGGATTTCTCATCGGTCCTTCTCGAAACCTTGGTTTAAATACTTTTGCTCCTGGAATAAACGACAGCCAATTTAAGTAAATGTAACGTAAAAGGCCACATCCCCTTGATTCTCTCCTTTTACTTTCTACGCTAATATTTTTCTGATTCCTGTGATTGAGGAAACTCTGTAGTCACTATAAAACAACATAATATATTTACCAAAGACTAAAAAACAGAGTAGCTATTAAGTAAATCATTGAGTACTAATTACATGGACGATAGGAATTTTAAATGTGGTCTAAAAATTGTATTCAGCGATACTTTTTCTCTAACATCAGGCCCAGGTCTCAGTAATCTGAAATACATTAATATATTCGAGACACCCTTGTGTGGCTGAAAATGAAACATAAATTCGTTTCGTACACTACAGAACCTTGCAGCGCTACACGAAGCTCACGGAGAATAAGTTTTGTACAACATTTAGGGTTCTTGGCATCAGACAGAAGGATCCTTATCTATTCTTATTCTACTGAAATGTATTAAATCTCCCAAGCGATAAATATTTCAGGTAATGATTAGATGCAATCTATGCATTAATAAATTGTAAATAAAAATCACCAACCGAAATAAAAACAAATCACGACGAAGCAAGAAATCTCCGTTACATTCTCCAACCTGCCAAAAAATAAACTGCTTTTGATTTTTTTTGTCCGTTCATGCAGCGTTGATTTAAACTTCAATGTAGAACGTTAGCCACACGTAGAATACAGGTTTTCTTAAATACTAAAAGGAAAGAAACGAATTCAGGACACTTTAACCACGAAGTTGAACCACCTACCTCCTAATTCATATCCACCCCTGGAAAAGACTCTTATGAATTACAAAAACAACTTATTCTTCTACTTTAGCTGCATTAAATTTTAGGAATCCGTTGCGATCTGTTAAAGGGTGATAAGGAATTAGATAGAATTTCACGATTCTCTTCAGAATAGACTCCGATAGCTAAACTAAAGTAAACAATTTGAAGTATTAAATAACTTAAATTTACTCGTAGAAATACTTACCGAAGATAAATTGTAAGTGAACCGAGATTACAGTCAATCAGCACGCGTTTCGTGACTGTCACAAATTCAATATTCTTGTGACACTGAAATTTGTGGGTATCTGTAAAAAAATGCTAATAAGTAAAAGTAGCGTTTAATAAACAAAATGGATGAAATATAAAAGAAATATACCTTTTTAATATAAATTCCATACATTCTTAGTATCCAGTTACGCACATCCTGTGAATTATTCACGTTTTTCTCGACTTCGTCCTAATACAATTGCAACTGTAAAAAATTATACAACAACCATCCATTTATTGTAAGGAAAGTGACCCAAAGATCCCAGAAGTAATTTGTATATCGTAACTATAAGTAATCTAGAGTAATTCACTTGAATATTATATTTTAATGTAGGTAGAAAACGAATTTAGTAGAATGTTACTTACTCTTTTCTTTCAAATCTTCTAGGATGACTTATTTTTTAAAGTAACTGAAACAATTTATTATGACCGATTCATGTGCTTTATGATGTCCTTTTTCTTTAATAGAATATAAAAAGTAATCACTAAAATCTCCAACGGTTACCTGGATCTTTGTAATTTTCATAAAGACATGTCAAAAAAAGACATTTCAAAACAGTCGACGAACGTTTCAATTTTTGATTAAACGAAAAATTGAACTTCCGACCCGATCTTGTGTTAATTAGCAATTAAAAACCGTACATTCTAATTGCATCTTTCGTATTCGGTACCAAAACAATGGGAGATCGATTTGTGATAATCATTTTGTCGATGGATAATCTATGATAAATACCATACGCGGTGCTGCGAATAACATTTCTAGTTCACTAATAAAGTAAAAACGATTACAAAAATTCTGTACCCTAATGTGCACATGTATTGATAAAAAATACACAATTGCTTTAAGTAATAACTTTAATTTACTTGGCTTACAATTATTTAACGTAATTTTTAAGTTCTAACAAAAGATAAACATGTTGTTACTCTAGACAAATTATATCTTCATCTTCAGACGATATCTCCATATTGGTAACGCGGAGGGTATCTGTCGTTTCTTCTTTAAATCTTTTAATCATATCTTTAAGGTTAGGAACTTTATAATGATATTTCATTATAACAGTTTCACTTTTGCGATTGTCTTTTGAGTAATCGAGAGAAAAGTTTAATTTCATAAGTGTATCCACAGACTCAAGATCCACGTCAGCGCGATAAAGAGTTTTTGTATTATTTTTCGTTGTGAAAACTCGTCCATTCTTCCACAAATTGAACTTGAGTCCTTTCACACCACGATTGGACATCTTGAAATTTTCAACTACCTTTTTCGGAGTCAAGGTCTGGTCATACGGCAACAGACACGTCATCGTAATATATTTAACGCTTACCTTTTCCGCTTCGCAAACCGTAATCATGTGGTTATTGAATCTACGCATACGTTGAGTCTTCACCCATTTTGCTGTTTCAGTATTTTCAGGAATAACGCAAAAGTAACCTGGCTTACAGTATCCGTATTTGAGAAAATCCATTCTACTTTTACCGCCGTCTTTGATATATTTATACATTTGCGATATCAATTCTTCTTTTATCTTGCGAGCGGTGGACACGCTAACTGGAGTATTGTCTAGACACAGTTTAATTACGTGAGGAGCTTCAGAGTCGATAGCTGGCATCGGGGCATTCTTTTGATATAGATTTGTAGAAACTGCTGATGAAATCTCTTCGAGGCCGGCATCAAATGCATCCGTGTCGATTGCTACCGCTCTCAGGAACACTTGAACTTTCTGAAGTTCGTAGCTTAAAGTCATTTTATGCTTTTCCAAAGCCCGCGCCGAAGACGGAGGCATATCAACGTACAACCTCGTTCCCTTCTCGATGACGATCTCCCGAACTAATTTCCACGTTTGGATATTAACATTGCTTAAATGTCTATTCTGCATTACAAGTTTCTTCAATGGTGGCATACCTCTTGTTTTCGTATGTCCCGGAAGCCAAATGGCGGCACGCTCGTCTACATAATCCTCTGATGTATAAATGATTACATTAAAATAGCTGAATTTCGAAAAATCCAGCTTTAACAACCAATTCCTAGACAATTCATCACTGGTCCACACCACATATCGCGTATCTTTCTGCACACCCCTCAACGTTAAATCTGGCGTCCAACTGTCATTACTCGTTTCTGAAGCCTCTATTATACTTTTCACTATAAAGTCTTTCAAATATTGCCCTTGCTTGTCGTTGAAAGCTTCAAAGTTGTCCTTACACAAATACAGACAATACCCTTCTTGGGCCCAGTCCTCTTGGATGTTCGGCGTTGGTTCCACAGGTGCCATTACCATAGGGAACATCATTGGAACCATCGGTACAACAGGCGCCATCACAGGCGGCTCATCAAACTCTTCCTTCGAAACTACACCATCTATATTCCAATCTGAAACTGGGCCAATAAAAAAATCAAATCAAAAACCTACCACGTGACAAATAATCTTGTAAACGAAAAACTTACTGTTCGATTCCGCGGGTAGTTCATTATCTGTAATAATGAAAATTAAATACATAGAGAAAAATATTAATCGACTTAATGATAGATGAGGGTATGTAAAAAATATTACCTCTCATACTGAGGGAAGAACCACTTCTTGAAATTGTGACAGGACTTGTCGACAGGTCTGAAACAGCACATTCCGCGTATTAAAAGTGGCCCCAATGGTAATGGTAAATAACATTTTGATCATCGTTTATCTGTTGAAATTAAAAAAAAAAGGAAATTTACTTTGAAATATTCAATGTCATATTCCTCTATGTTAAGGGACCAAATGCTAGAATTTAAATGTTATCGATAAACACCGAAATAAAGTCAGATTCTCTCAATGGTACTTACTAAACAGTAGTTACTCCTGTTTCGTGACTGATTTCGTGTATTTTAATAAGTATAAAACTATTCATAAAATGTATGTCAAATGAAATTGACACATCAACCCCGAAAACATGTCAATAACAAATCAATTTTTAACTATACGAACTTAATACTACTTTTGTATATGGTTGACTAAATAAGAAGTAGGAATGCAAAAAGGTAATCAAGGGTACCGAAAAACATGTACAAAACTTAATGTTATTGTTCAGAAGTTTCAGCAGTGGAAGTTCACGGTAAACTTGGAAAGAAACTGAGATAAGATAAAAGAATGTTAATGGCGTATTGCAAAACACCATTGAGGAAAATTTCAAACATTTTTAACTCGTAACTAGTTATTCTATACATAATGTAACGGTCGATAGTTACTGAAAACTATTTTATCATCAGAAAAGAGATTATCTTCATAACTGTAGCTTAAGTAACGATATATTCGGATACATTTCCGTTTTTACGTACTTCAATACCTTTAGAAATTTCCTTTTACATACGTCCATGCGCAGGATAAAAATGCACAAGCATAGTTGTTCACAAAATCCACTCAGGTTTGTTTTTAAAACACAATGGAGGATAGCTTACCTGGTGCAGGCTGCTGCTTCAACAGCCTGATTTCGATCGGAAACTTGGATATAACTTTATCAAATATCTTCTCCATACCCTTTATGCCGTGTTTTTCTTCGAACTTTATGACGATTTCTATAAATGACACGTCTTTGTCCCCAAACATTTCAAAAATCATGTCCTCTATTAAAATCTTGAGTTGTTCTTCGACATCATGTCTTAGTTTCCCTTTGAATTTTTGAGCAAATTTCATTAAAACTTTTCTCGATAGATCATCAACTGCCTTATCTCTTTTATATTGAATTGCCGGGGCTAAATCACCACTAACCACTTCACCCATCTGCCTTGGGGTTTTATCAAACTTAGAGTGAGAAGCTTCGTAAAAATCTTGCTTAAAAGACTCCTCTTTAACGTTTTTAAAATCAACCTCTTCAGGACTATATTGACGAACATTAAATCTTATATTTGAGTTTCTCTTTCTTTGATATTCATCAGTTTTTCTTGTAAGTTCAGCGGCTCTACTGTAAACATCTTCTATTTCTTTATCTAAATTTTCTTGTCCCAAGTACAAATTTTCTTCTCTGCTATTGAAGCTCTGATGGTAATCATCTCTTTTATGGCGAAATTCATCAAAATCTTCCTTGATCTTTTCTCTGTTCTGAAATTGCTCTACTCGTGGTTCTTGATATCGAGGACTTTGTTGTTGAAATTCATTCCGACGATTTATTGGAAAATCTTCGCGAGGTGATTTCGATTCATTTTGATTGGGTGAGTACTTATCAGACGATCTCGGACGAAGGGGTGATCGATCACGAAACTCATCACTTAGCTGAGGTTGATGATGCGAGTCCCACTGTGAACGAGACGGGTTACTAAAATATTTTTTGTCATCACGATCGTAACTACGACGATCTTCTTTGTGGAAGAATGTTGGTTTCACTTCTTGTTTTTGACGGGCTTCAATTTTTATCCAGACAGGTTTCTTGTCCTCTTCATCGTGTTGACGATTTGATTTGTATACGTTTTCTTGACGGTCAGGCCAAGAGGGTGGAGGTGGTGGCTCAATGTCATTGGGACTGCGACGTTTCTCCAAAGCCCACGAGCGACGTGGAGATCTTGGTGACGGAGAATGTCTCCTATACCGATCCCTAACAGGAGAGCGGTCTCTTCGATTCGGAGAACGTGACATTCGACCCGGTGACGTGGCCTTGCTTTCGGGCTGACTTAATACCGGCCTTGGATAGTCCCCTCCCCTTCGCGCCTCATACTTCGGCACTCCAGGTAAATCTCGCCTGTCTTCAACTGGCTTCACTGGAGGCTGATACGGTTTTTCTCTTTCTTGCCAATTGGGACGTTGATCTCCTTTACGATGACCTGGTGGATATTGTTCAGTTTCCCGGCTCTCGGGAGTGTAGCCACCTGAGTACATAGGTTGACTTTGTGCCTGGAAATTAAAATTAGTCTTGCAAACACAAAAATACATTTCTAGAAAATAATAAAACATAAATGAACATAATAAACATATAACACTTTTTTCATTGGCATATTGATTGCATTAAAGTTAACTTTATGTGTCGCTAAATATGTTTTATTTCCTTTTAGTACATTTACCACATTTCCTCCAAAATAGATGAGAATGGCACTAAATGATCTCTTAACAGATATTTGTCAATTTTTCTATTATACAAAGGCTCCACCTGCTATAAGTAATTTTATTTTCTGCTCATTTTAATATTTATCCATGTCCTAGCATTTGTAGTGTGGTGAAATAATATTTTATATTCTTTCGGGACAATATTTTTCAAATAAATACAAATAGATTAAATGTATAAAACCGTTTGTTCTAATCTTAAAATTTTCCTGTTTTTCAATAGTAGTTGATTCTCGGAATAACTATCTAGCATTTTTTTCTCCCCATATGAAAACTGACTTCAGCCAGCTGTAACAGAACTGCAATGTATTGGCGCATTAGAAACGGACGTCTACTTCATTTTTCATATATTTTCTGATAGATCTAATCATAAGGCAGACAGAAAATTTATGAACTAATAATGTCATTTTAACAGCGTCTTATATTGACCAATGACAATTAAAAAAAATCGATTTTTATAATTTCACAATAATACACGGTTTATTATCTTTGTGTGCCTATAAAAGTGCAGTCCCTTGATAGTCACAATCATGCGTGTGTTTTAACATTTTATTGTCCGACTTCCCAAAAGCAGGAGGTACTCAATTCGTTTATTTTTTTCCATGAAAGATTGCTATCTGGTCGTTCCACCAATAAATGATCTAATGTAAAACCGAATAAGCGCGATTCTTTTGCTTATTTGTCCATTAAAAAACCGGGCCTTAGGTGGCCCTTTGTTCTAAATCTTATAATTTCTATCATTCATGTACAGCTTAAGTAGTTATATTCAATATAACTTATTTTCCATACAATGAAAATTTCACATTACACATATTTTAGCAGCATTGTGCAATTTTAAAAATCCTTGATAGGTTTTAGCTTTAGTAGTATTCCCTTTAATGTTGTGTTGATAGTTTGAGAAAAAAGTAAACCATAGTTTCTTTAGATAATTAAGTGTCCCATCGTTTTTCCAAAAGAAAATGGATCTTTGGAAAGAATTTTCCATTGTATTTGGAGAGTTACAAAGGTTGATAACATTGTAAAAGGTTGATAACATTTTACTTGGTAGAAGTTTTGGTAGAATCTTTGGTAGAAGTTTCCTGTAGTCGAATGTCTTTAAATCTTAGGATTTTTTTTGATGCTGTTGTATCGACTTGTAATACTATGATTTTCGAGTATTCAATCATATTACCCAACAATTCAATTATTGGGTACAAATTGTGAATCCAAGTTGAATATTATTTTGCTTGCACCATTTATTGTGACTGGAAAAGACTTTTTCTTTCGCCATTCTTCAATGAACAAAATTCGCTTTGAAATTCACATTGGATATTTTACTCTAAATTGTTTTTGTTGTCTCATATCCGGTGACCGAAAAAAGTACAAAAATTTAATTCAAAACATAAATTATTTTTAGGGAGTTATATGTCTTATTTTCTGTAATTTAAAGTATAATAGACCCTTGTATCATAAAAATCTCTAAATTTTCAATCCCTCTGAGCATACACTTGGAGGATTTCACTCGATACTGACTTTTGTTTTGTTAATCATATATTTTCTTGACCATTTTCTTCGCAAATGATCTTATACTTGATAGAATAAAAGAAAATATTATTGTATTTGTTCATTATTCTGTTAACATTGATTTGTAAGCTTTTGTTTTTCTAAATGAGGTTATCAAGTCCACTATATCTTTAGTGTCTCCCATCAAAAACGTTTTTTTTTTTAATTAAAAAACTTATGTTCCAATTTTTTTTTGCAACTTACAGGGCTAGGTTCTCAATTTCTTTATACATATTTTAGGTACACTGGTAGGAATTGTCTTTAACAGAAACACATATTATTTTGTATGGCTGGAGGTGATGATATTAGATTCTAATACACTGTAAATATTGTAGAATTAATGTCAGTCGGATTGTACATGTTGGGCTTAACACTCGACTTTATTTATTACACCACAGTTACATGTTTATTCTTCTATTCATAGTATCTGCCAGTGATTTTATTCACAATCTTTATTTTATTAATAAAAAAAAAACTGTTTCAATTTTTCATCTAACCTGTCAGAAATATTGATGTTCACTGTTTGAAGTCTTATAATATTTTATTCACACTTCACAGTATATGTTGTACTAACGTTAGTGTACCCAAAATAAAATACACAATCAGGAAAATTTGTCAGGTTTTCTAAGATTTTCTAACAACATATTTATTTCTATAACGTGGTTGTTATGCTCTCTCTCATAGTTGCTTATTTCTGTAGTTTTTATGCAAACTCTCATTGTTTTTGCAAATGTTTCTATTACCAAGTCTGTATTTTATTTACTTTGATTGTCCAGTAATTAGTACATTAAACATTGTACAAAAACATCATTTTTTTCATTTCATCCAATACTTCAGATCAACATGATTTTCCATTAATCTAACCTATATCAACATATCGAATACACAATACACATACATAAAAGATATTTCGACTCTGAAATAAACACTGCTGAAAATTCAACGAAAGGAACAAACAAACATCAATAAAATTAAATGATAGTTACTGAGAAAAATAATTTCACTACACACTAACCTGAGTCATGGAGGCGTATGCAGGTCTCACTTCTTTAGGACCTGTTCGTATGTTGTCCATTGGCTTGCGTGACGGCGAGTACCTTTATCAAATAAAAAAAACGTTTAACATTCATCCGTCCTAATTCTATAGGATCGGTGCACCAGGTCAGTAGCTGACAAAACACTTGAAGTCAAAAATAATATGCTTCAATAGACAAAATGTTTTTTTACATTTAAAACTTATATCTCTCACATCTGTGAATCTGTGATCATTGGGGTTGCATCTGAAGAGAATGATTTAATTCGACTTCTCTTCAACACTCTTACAAGTGTGTACAATTATTACTTATAGCTGTTCCCGTGCGATTTCATCAGCATAAAATTATTTTGTTGTTCACATGTGTCAAATTATCAATTGCAAGACTATAGATAATAGAAATGTGTTTATCAGCTATCACATAGCACTTTTCTGTTGAGCTATAGCTCAACAATCAACTCACTGATCAACTCATTATAACTATGGGAGCTGGCAAGCTACAAATTTCCCGGTGACTTTGAACACATTGTAAATTTAGGTGATTAGTATTACTTTGTAATGGTGATGAACTTTAGTTGAGTTAGCCAAGACTTGTATACTCACCTATCAAATGATCTAGATGGGGGCCTTCGGTTGGGAGAACTATGTCTGCCAGGTGACATATTCCTCATCATTCCTGGCTTGCCGGGTGACATTCTCTGTTGCATATGTCTGTCATCTGATCAAGGGTAAACAATGCATGTATACCAAATTGGAAATTAAATTAATATTTAAGAAATGATTTTTACCTAGAGTACCTTTATTCATTGGTGCGATCCTATGTCCGGGTGAAACTCTCCTTTCTGGCAATGTTCTGTTCCCTGGAGACATTCTTCGTCCACTTGGAGAAATCCTACGACCGGAAGGTATAACTCCTGGGCCTGGAGAAACTCTACGTCCAGGTGGTAAAAACGATCGTTCAGGTGTAATTCTCCTTCCAGAAGGTGAATGTTTACGTCCCATGGGTGACATTCTACGGCCCGAAGGGGATATTCTTTGCCCATGTGGTGAGATTCTTCGACTTGAAGGAGAAAATTGGCGTCCTGGTGAAATTCGACGTCCCGGTGGCGAATTTCGACGACCGGATGGGGAAAATCTTCGTCCCGATGGTGACATCCTTCGACCTGATGGCGAAACTGGACGACCTGTAGGCGCCATTTGACGCGCCGGAGGCGAATTTCTTCTACCTGACAGCGAAATTTTACTTCCAGGGTGGAAATTTTGGCGGTCAGATTGGGCAAAATGACGACCGGATGGTGAAACTGGACGACTAGGAGGTGAAAATCTACGTCCGGGTTGGTTTTGACCACCATGTTGCAAGTTTTGGCGTCCAGTTGGAGACATTTGGCGCCCAGATGAATGGATTTGACGTTGTGGCGAAAATCGACGTCCTGGTGGCGAAATTCTACGTCCTGGTGGCGAAATTTTACGTCC